ATCTCAGAACCTCTGGAATTTTATCTAATAAGAAGTGCAGAACCACATTGCCATACTCGGTGGCGCATAATAACAACACACCTTTTTGGTGTTAACCGCATAAGGATAACTAGTATCGAAGGTGATGCAGAAGCTATTGCCGAATTTGTAAGAAAAAAATATATGCACATTAATACTACACGATAATTTTTCATGCGAATAGTTCTTTGCATGTCAAATCAAATTGTAATTTTATAATATTTATGTATTCAAATAGTTGCTGAAGATGATCCAAATAAGAGTTGAAACGTTCACTAATAACGGAAACTAACAACAAGAGTTTCTAGCAAAGAATAAATTTACCTGCGTATCATCTTCCGCGCCAGACTCTTATTCAGTCACATTAATTTTTAATTAAATGATCTACTTTTTGATAGAAAGATCCACTTTTATAACGCGTTTACTTTATTCATAACTGCAACGATGTACCTAAAAAATGGAAATACATTTTTTAAAATAAAATTATATATTTTTTTAATTGTAAATCGGTTTCTTGAAACTTTCCTAATCAAGAATTAGGATACAATGTAAAAAAATCAACAACTCGTGATATATTTCATATTTTTAATTGTATATGTGTATACACACACACATATAGGATGCGCGAAAAGTTTCGGAATGGTTTAATATTTTGGAAAAATTCTCATTATTTTTATGCATAAAAGTAATGAAATAAAATTATCGGAAAATAAATATTTTACAAAATATTTAATAGTTTATGTAAGATTATTGCCAAATTAAAATATAAAATATCTTGCAAATTTTTCAACTAAATTATTATTTTATTAATTGAACATATATTAATATTTAAGATAAATATAACGTTTTTTTAAATTTAATATATTATATTTAATTTGAATATTTTTATATATTCAATTAACAAAATAATATTTAGTTAAAAAGTTCAATCAAATTAATAAATTTTTTTTCAGTAATATTGACGATTTTACGTTATAATATTACACAACCATATGTAAATGTTATTTGCTTTACACAAATAATTAGAATTCAAATTACTTACGTAAACGTGGGCGCGTCCTTTAAACTTCTTTAAAAAAGTTAATATGATATTCTTGATTCTTACTTATGTTAATTGGCTCGATAATTAAAAATATGAAAATACTAATTTATGTATCAATATTTATATATATTATTGTTGTAAATATATTATTTTCAACTAAATTATCGCAGAGTGTGTGATATCTCACTCTCGTAGATCGCGGTACTGCGCAACCGCGATGGAGTTTTAGTGACACACCCAGAGGCGATGCAACGACATAAAAAAAAGAGACTAACACAAAAATAATTGCATATATTAATATTTAAGAATATAAATATGATGTTTTTTAAATCGGCCAACAGAGCCAAAGCACGAAAAATTAATTATTCGGAACTGTATCTCTTGGTTTGAGATCACTAAGTTCCATATATAAATTAATCTCGAAACTTATTGTACATATGGAGAAATAAGCGCGAAAAATATAGGTCCGAAAAGTCGCTGAAGAGGGAATCGAACCCGCGTCTTTCACTTTCCGGGCGACTGCTCTTACTGAAGCAGTGGATAAAGCAATTAACTGCATAATTCAAACTTTTACCCAACATGTCTTGAAGATAAAGAGTGGGCTCAATCTGACTTTCGAGAATTAATGACTTATATATAATATAAATAGATTTCGTTATATATGTTCTTATCCACGACATACACAATGGCAATACACTTTAGACGATATAATGACAGCTTAACAAGTGATAGACACAACCTATTGATGATTTTGACAGTATTTATTAGAACATCATTTTAGATAAGTTTGAAGAATGTATTAATATTTTAATAAAAAATCAGCCATACATGAGTTCATCAAAGACATAGAATGTAATGCAAGACGTAACAATATTAATAATTTGATAACTACACGAAATATCGCGATCACTAAATTTACACAACTTCTTAACTCGAATGAGAAAATGGGCTTAACACAACGGAAATTAATCTAGATGTATAAGGAAACTATGAAATTTAATAAAGATAACCCGCATATTATATACACACGCGTGGACAAAGGGAATATTACGGTGGCAATAAATAGATCGTATTATAATAGCAAAATGCGTAATTTATTAAAAGATGTTAATACATACTCGACTTTGGATAAAAATCCATGTAAAAAAATTGAGAAAGAACTTAACAACTTGATTAAGAATTGGCTTAAGAATGATTATATTTCGAAAAATGACTATTATTGACTTTATTCGAGCGATTTTGTCCTACCTAAGGCTTACGGATTACTCAAAATTCATAAAGAAGATATCCCATTTAGAATTTTAATTTCATCCATAAATACGTAACATTAATTAATTTAAACACAAAACATATTTTAACTGCAATGAGTTTAAAAATAACAATTTAATTTTAATATCATTAGAATATTATTTAGCAGCGCGCCCAGTTTTTTTAACTACAATTTTTTTATTTCTTTTTATTTTATATTAATAGACTTGGCATCTTGTTTATCTTTTTTTTTTAAAAGATAAGTTTTTTTATGGTACGATTCTACATTTGCAAATTTAAATTTTTACTGATTCATTATACGACTATATATATGTCTGCAATTTTAATTTTCCACTGGTACAAGTTTCTACTTTCACTTGTCGCAATTTTTTTTTTATTTCATTACTTTTGTTACGATTGTACATGGGTTTATAATCGATAATTTTTCATACAATTCTATTGTACATGGGTTTGCAATGTAGGATTCTACATAAGTTTGCAATGGATAATTTTTAATACAATTCTACATGGGTTTGCAATGGTTAATTTTTCATAGGATTCTACATGGGTTTGCAATGGTTAATTTTTCATAGGATTCCACATAGGTTTGCAATGGGTACGATTCTACATGGGTTTGCAATGGTTAATTTTGCCTAGGATTCTACATGGGTTTGCAATGATTAATTTTTCATAGGATTCTACATGGGTTTGCAATAGGATAGGATTCTACATGGGTTTGCAATAAATAATTTTTGTTAATGGCGTGCCCTTAACTGGTCGCCTTTTTTTACCTTTTTTTAAAGGTGAGTTTTTATTAAATTATACTCGACAAAGCACTTGGTAATTTCGAAACACATAGTAAAAGAATACCATAATATTGATTGGAATAATGTAAAGATTTTAGACAGGGAAAGTAATTATCATAAGAGACTTGTCTCTGAGATGTTACATATCAAAAAGCAAAAAATGGCCTTAATTCCAATAATGATACCGAACTGCTCAGTGAGGCTTATTTTGATGTTTTAAACATGTTAACAAACAGACGATAGATTACTAAAAAGACAAACAAGACATCAACATTTTTTACATAATAACTTAATATATATAAACACTCTTAGCTTGTTGACTTGATACAGTTGGAAGTGAGATATCTTAACGAACTAATAGTTATAAAGTTTTTTTAAAAAAAAATGTGAAATTAGCACAAAGAAATTTAAAAGTAAGGAAGCCGAACAATTACGTAAGATTTTATAAATTGTGACCGATTATTAATTGACTTGATTGTACGCAGTGCATACCCCCAGCAAACACCAATATATAATTGTTACATTGCTATAATAAAACGGAATATAACAGGTAATATAACGTGTACGTTACATGTAACATCCATGTTAGTTGTAATTTCCCACTCATAGATGTAACATTTTAATATAACATATATTACATTGTAGTTATATTGTATATGTAGTTATATATGTAGTTATATATATATATATATATATATATATATATATATCATCGAGGATTACATTTTTCATGTGTCAATCTGTCTCACGCAGACTCTCAATTAAAATATAAACAAGATAATTTCTTATTTTAGAATACACCATATATATGTCTTATATAGACAAATATTTATTTTATACATAATAATTACATCAAAAACTTTGTCTTATTTATATCATCGAGGATTGCATTTTTTATGTGTCAATCTGTCTCACGCAGACTCTCAATTAAAATATAAACAAGATAATTTCTTATTTTAGAACATCCGATATAGGTACAACATAAACTTATATATATGGTACCTTTCACTCTTCGAGTCAGATCTCATAGTCGCACCAATTGAAACTGCTGTTGAGAAAATCGGAAACTCTACAAGTGTTACTTGATTGTTAACTTTCGTGTTAATTTCTAAAAAACCATGAATTACATTCGAAATAATAAAACTAAAATATATAAAACACCAATACAAAAATTTTACGCCGGAGAGACAATTCTCATTACAGGTATTTATCATTATAAAATAATTAAATAAAGTGTAAATATATATTTAACTTTTTAAATATATTTAATATATATAAGATTGTAGAAAATTAATAAAAATATAATCATAAGAAGTATGTGTAAAATCTTAATTATAACACACAAATTAATGTCTCAGTATGTGACTTTAATAAGTTTTCTTTTAAATGGTGGTCCTGAATTATTTTTATACTCTTTTCAATTATTATAATTTAATTATTAAGCATTGCAAGTTGTTCTATGTATATTGTATATGCTGATAGTTTGCAAATTTATTTATATTCGCAAATTTTTTCTTTATTCCGAAGTTAAGAATATAACTATATATGGCATTGATCAATAAAAACAACTATTGTTAAGCCGTCTAGGTTTCTAGTAATATTATAGGGGCATTATTTATGAAGTGATCCATCCAAATTTTCAAAGTTTTCCAATCACGCTGAAATTTGCAGAAAGTATAGTCCTATCAAAAGTAAAATTATTCCTCAAGTCGTTTGGCTCACACCATACGACTAGGCATCGTCCGATAAAAAATTCCTGGCGCGGTTTGTTCGGCTTTTACGATTCCTGCGCTATTTTTATTTGTGGCGGCTCGGAGAATCGTTTCGCTGCGCAGCTGTAATCGGACCTTCTCATACGGGCGCAATTTTATTACAGCGTTTCCTATTTACAGCTCCTGTTTCCTATAATCGCAAGAAACTTTTTGTTTCTGCAAGAAATCTATTCCTATAATCCCGTCATACTCCATCGGGAAATCGTCTTTCACGACGTAGATCGCGTGTTTGATTTTTCGGTCGTCCAGATCGATGGTCGCGAAAAATTTTCCTATTGTTCGCGCCTTGTGCCCGGTTATGCTGATCAAAGTGATTTTGTCTTTATGGATTTCGGTTTTGCTTTTTAAATGTTTGGCCTTTATTAAAGAAACAGTAGCACCGGTATCGTAAAGCATATTAATCTTGCCGGTTTTTACTTCTCGTATCGGTAGGGTTATCAAATTTAAGCGTGCCTTCTCGCAAAACGTCGAGCGCACATGCGTCACCTGATAATCCAGCGCGCGTGTCGTCTTATTCTTTTCCCCGTGTCGCTCGTCCTCGTCGCTGTTTTGCTCGTCCTCGTCGCTGCTTCGCTCGAAATCCGTATCACTGTTTCTCGTTTTCGGCTTCTTACGACTTTCGGTTTCATTAACGTTACGCGATTTTTTATCACCGTTTGTTTTATCGTGACTTGATGTCGTTTTTGTCCGTCTATTTAAAGTCCAGCACTCGTCGCGATTATGCCCACGCTTTTTGCAATAGTTGCAAAATTTTTCTACTGTAGTTACGCGATCTGACTTCTCCGGTTTCGGAAGCACGTATTTACTACTACGGCATTCTCGCCCGATGTAGTTTGGTTTTCCACATTTGTAACAAGTAATTTTTTCGATATCTCGCGATGACAACTTTATATCCCGGCGGTTATTTTTAGTCGATCGGGTCGCATTGGCGTTCCTGACCTTTTCTTCCGTTATTGCTGCGTTAATAGCTTCCTTCAATGTACGATAATCCCGTGACCTAACGATGGTTTGTATTTCCTCGCGTAGTCCTGTCTGGAAGTTATGCAACGCCTGACCTTGTATCGTCTCAAGAATAACGCGTTTTTCCGTCGTGGAGCGCGCTCGTCCCTCGATCATTGACTCATAGAGCTCCATCGCAATAGTCTCGACGCGAATTCCGAAGGCTTGTGAGTCTTCGTTTGTTTTTTGTTTAAGGGAATTAAACTCAATTTGTAAATGAGTAGTCATGTGCTTGCTTTGATATGTTGATTCTAATTGTCTTTTTAACTCCTCGTAAGTACGTATATCTCGCGTTTTGCAATCAAGCCAAGCCTTTCCCTTGACTTTTGTGCTAAGGATGCTCCAAACTAGACTGTCTTCGTCGCGTCTGTCTATATGACTGATAACGTACGTGCATGCATCTAGGAATTCATTGAGTTCGCGCTGTGACTTGCCGTGGAAAGTGGGTATAAGTTTCCTTGCTTCCTTTAGTGTCATGTGTCTTCCGCGTATATTTCTACGGTTTCTTACGTCGTACTCGCTGCGTCCGTATGCAATGTCGTATCTCTTCCTCACGTCTGTCCAGGTCTCGGTCGCGTGAGCAGTCTCGCGAGCCGCGTCGATTGTCGTACCTATCGTTCGCGTCTCTACCATATCGATTTTTGTCCGCCTCTTGATAGCGTACATTGTCGCGTATGTTCTGCCGATTGTCGTACCTTACGATATCGTCCCGGTCGTTAATGTATTTGTGGGAATTTCTTGGGTTATCGCGATCCGGTATCATGTTTCGGTCGTGCGTACGCCTGTGGAATTCTCGACGGCTGTCGTCCGATTCCTCTCCGCGAGACAATGACGCACGTATTTTTCTACGCATTTCCTCTCGCATTGCATCTATTTTCGCACGCACATCTGTTTGTATTTCGCGCATACCCTGTATTAATTTGCGCAATAAAAGACTATCGGCGTCTACCTTGCGATTATCAGGTGATCTATACGTGTCCACCTCCACGAATTGTTCATGGTCGCGTGCTACAGCATCACGTAGGCGGTTGATTTCACGGTCAACAGCACCCTCGTATACGTTCATGGCACCGTTTGGCGGTGTTTGCGACATGTCGTCCTGATATTCGTTAGGATCAAAAATGCTGCTGTCGTAGGACGTAAGCGAGAATTCTCCGCGTTGCGACACATTACTAGAAGTTCGACTTACGCGTACTTTAATTTCTTTTCTTACTTTTATATCGGCGTCGATTTCTCTTTTTGCAAATAGGCTTTCGTCAAAAGTATCAAACAGAAATTCGAGTTTGGTTATCGCGTGAGTAGGTAATTCTGAGTCGCTTTCGCTCGAGTAACGCGCTTCTAATTTTATTCGCACCGTTTCGAGATTTTCTAAAGTTAGTGGCAATGCCTTTATTACCTGCTTGGCTGAGTCGCTAAACAGTCACGATTTATTCGCTATTGGTTGCTGAGGAGTTTCGAGTCCCTCTGACATCCACGCAATTAATAAAATTCGGACTTACAGTATTACGGCTCGCATTGTTACGCTCTATACGGGTCAGCTGCTGCTGCTGCAACTCGATCTCTCGTGGGCTGATAACGGCTGCTCCGTGTTGATGATAGATCCAGCGGGTCGTCGCTCGTGATGATGCACTGCCCTTGAGGTAGTCGTAGATCGGCGTTGTCCTTGGACGTCGGCGATCCCTTTCGATTCTCTACTGCTTATCACTCGTTGCATTGCTTATGTTGTCCGCTCTCTCTTTCTCTCGTTCTTATCGTGATTTGTATTTTTATATATATATATATATATACATATATATATATTGAATAAAAAAAGAGAATTCTACATTTAACAAGACTAAAATCTACGGAGAAACCCCGACGATTCAGAAGTCCACTTCCCAATCCGGCAACATCCCTTCTGTGTCTCACCCGAGGCACAACATTTTGGTGGCAGCGGTGGGATAGCCGAAGATCGCCGAGATTCCCTCACAAGGCAAAGACCTGTAAAAACACAAAATTTAATAAATGTGTTAGACAGGCACGTCAGTAACACTGACGGGAACAAACAAATCACGATAAGAACGAGAGAAAGAGAGAGCGGACAACATAAGCAATGCAACGAGTGATAAGCAGTAGAGAATCGAAAGGGATATATATATATATTGGTATACAATCTTAACAAGACTCGGCGTATGGTTATTTATAAACCTCTGGTAACTTCGTTTCTCTTTTTCGCTCGTTTGACGCGACTCTAGATTTATCCTGACTTTAGCTAACAACTCGTCTGGTTGCGAGTCGGGAGTTATCCTCGATGTGACTCGGGTGATTGGTCTAATTGAACTCGCTCTCTGTTCACTCCCGAGTTCTTACGTGAACTCGGTTTTTCGTTATTTCGTTTGGAAGGGGTGCCTGGCGACAGGCACCCGATTGGTGCATAGCTTTTGCTTACGCGGCTAGATTTTGAGCTAAGAGCTGTTCGAAAGATGAAGCTCTTAGCTTGCGTCTTCGCGGTTTCCGGCCCGCTGCTGTATCAGCGGTCTCCACGCGGATTTTATATCCGTTAAACTTATAATTTATAGCCTTTCTGGCTATAACACTATAAATCAGGTTGCAGAATAAATAAAGCTTTAATAAAATCCGAAATACTAGCTGAAAAGAAGTGAGAACTGTATGCAGTAAAACGAATACTTTTTAAATATGGTTTATTATTAAATTTTTTGCTAGTTTATTTTTAATATTTGCATATATGCTTTGTAAAATTAATTTTTAATTACTTATACGTTTTGTTTTTATTTTATTATTATGAAATTAATATTTATTATATTTTTTAGATAATTTAGATAGAGCAAATAAAAGACTGCAGAAAATAGAAAATAATAATAATACTGAAGCACCATCTTCATCGGAAATAGAAAGCAAACGAAAAAGAAAGCCTAATAAACGATATCAAATTACATCAAATGAAGATGAAGAAGTTGCATCAAATTTATTTTTTTTTTTGGACAAAATTTGTCGACTTGAAAAAAAAACGAACGATATAACTATCAAACGATATAGTTTATTCTGCATCATTTTCAAATTCATTCGAAAATATCAATGACACTCTTTCTCATTCAACTTCTAATCTTGAAACAGGTTGCATACGTACACGCTGTACATTCTATATAATCCCAAAAATCAAACATATATAATCATCAATCAATTTCAATAAATATTTACAATATTTTTATTGCATTGGAGCACACTTTTGAGATTTAACGATTGTTTTTTTAGATTCTAATACAAATGGAAAGGCAAACCATGCTAACTTAGGTTTGTATTAATAATTTTATTAATAATTTTATAAGAGATGTCATATAAATATGTATATATAATATAAGAATATAACATTTTATGATGTTTTGTAGATCAAATTCACTACCACATTTTTAAACTCCACAAGCAAGTTGTTGTGTGCCTCGGGTCGGGCACAAGGGGTCGCGCCAAATTAGGATGAGGATCCGGGGCGTCAGGGCTTGGATCGAGGTTATTGTATTAATTCACTTCACGTTCTCACTATTAAAGAGCTTTTATTTGAACTAAACACTTGACGTTATCTTTATTTTCACAATATTACACTTTGTAGTTACTTAACTAATTGAACGGAATGATTACGTATGACTTCGTGAATTGCGCGCGCGACTGCGATAAAATGTTATAGATCGCACGCGGTTAGCGAGGTTACTTTTAATTAACGACTCGAGAGCGACTCTGGATTTATTCGAACGCTAGTTAACGACTCGTCTGATTGCGAGTCGGGAGTTATCCTTGATGTGACTCGGGTGGTTGGTCTAGTTGAACTCGCTCTCTGTTCACTCCCGAGTTCTTACGTGAACTCGATTTTTCGTTATTTCGTTTGGAAAAGGTGCCTGGCGACAGGCACCCGATTGATGAATAGTTTTTGCTTACGCGGCTAGATTTCGAGCGCAAAGCTGCTCGAAAGATGAAGCTCTTAGCTTGCGTCTTTGCGGTTACCGGCTGTATCAGCGGTCTCCTCGCGGAAAATATAGTAATTCTATATTTTATATCCGCTATATTTATAATTATAGCCTTTCGGGCTATAACAAAGTAAAAGAAGTTGTTGGGCTATTAAAACAATCAAGAACTTTGGACATAATATGTACTTTTCCCGATGATATTCCTGTACAATTTCCATTAAAAACCATCAACGAACTTCAAACATTAGAAAATTATTTGAATATTCGCAGCAATCAAAACACTTTCGTACGATTTTTTCTTAATTTTGATATACAAAATTTTAAAAATACTGTATATTGTTATATTCTATATATATTATTAATATGCTATATACTTTATTGTTAGGCCTCTTTTTTATCTACTTTGGGTGGAAATAATATCACAGCACAAACCAACAACCAAAATTTTACGTTACATTTTAACGAATGAATTGGCATGCAAATACAACTTTGCCGGACAGAGGCAAAATAATAAAATTGCTTTCTCTAGTCTTATGCTAAAGTCTGTGATAATTAGTAAGTAATCTTTTTAAAGTGGTAATTATAATTGCATATATATTTAATGTTTAATATATATTTCATAGATGCAGTACAAGTAAGGTCAACATTCACTACAACAAATGATATAGAGAATGCATAAAAGTATGGCTTAAACATGCAAAACAGCGCTTGAAAGATGAAAGGAAAAAACAGATTCGCTAAGCAAGTTAAAGTTTTTTTTAATATACTATATATTTCTAATTTCTAATATTTTTTTATTTTTATAATTTTATAATTTTTATAATTTTAATAATATGTCAAAGTTTCGTAAACAAAAAGAATTTGGTCGTCTACAACAATATAGAAGAGCTAAAAATGCATTTATTAAAGAAATAAATCAACATAATGATTTAAATGTTTCTGATAATAATAATACAGATAACAATGTTTCTGTTGTGGAAAATGTTAATTTTTAATCACTTCTGTCTGAAAAAAGTTTAATTTGTAATAAAAATATAAATAAACCGTTCAGAAACGATTTATCAAATAATAATGATAATCAAATAATAATCCTTAAGGTTCGTCAGTAATAATTAATATAAATCTTTCCTCAATGGTAAAAGTCGACCAAACTGGCAATCATTTATTATAAATAATTAGTTAAACTACAACGTTTCGGCTGTCATTGCAGCCCTTTTCAAGTAGATCAAACGTAAATGGATAATAAATTAGTACAGTAAATCAAGTTCACTGCATACCACCCACAATATTCAAAATTATTTTAATGAGCAATGTAGAATTAACGGTAGTAAGCATGGAATAAATAGATGTTAATAGCTAGCAAGAATCTTAGTCACTGAATCTTAGTCACTTAGTCATTAAAACAATTTGAGGGAGAGAGAGAGAGGGAGAGGGAGGGAGGGAGGGAGAGAGAAGAGAGAGAGGAGGAAGCGCTAGGTAAGAGAGAGGGAGAGTTGGTGGCGCCTCGAGCGCTGTAGCCAGGTGGCGAGGCGTCTGAAACGGAGAACCCGCTTCCGGTTCCTTTCCTTCTAGAAGTTTCCTTTTTCCGTTTTTCTTCTTGAAGCGAGTATCTGAGCTCTATCTGTCAGCATTTCTGTTCGAGTCCAACTGGAGACAAAGAACTTTTCCTAGCACATAGACTTAGGTAGCACAAATTCCTAGTCAGCCGCA